TTGTTTTAGAAGTTTGTACCTTAGAACTTGGAATCAAACAAAATAACTTTGAAAGCAAACAGCAAAAGTACGCAATAGAGAAACCAAAATCTTTTCACAAATACCTAATCATAAAAATGATAATTGAATACACGGAAAATTAAGATTCTATATAATAATGTGACTCGTTACAATTAATTTTATCCAGCGAATAAGCCTAAGCCTTTTCCTCTTTATATTTAAAACAGTCTGTTTTTGTTCACTTTTACGCAGAGACATATCCGTTTTGGGATAATGGAATATAAATTTTCATTATATAGTTATGAAGAAATAAATTGCATAAAGTGCTTAATTAAACAATATTTAATATTTGTTCAAATTACATAAACAACATGATTTTATCGAAACTGTCACATCCCCAGCTGCATCTTCCTTGAAATACTTCGTAGGAAAAAGATAAATCTAACGAATAATAAATATTTTCCGAAAGTGTACCAGTTATAGAAAAGGACCTCGCATTCGTCCTTGATCCTGTCTTTTAAAATCTTCGCACACAAACTTTAAGAGTTATGTTCATGATGGATCGCTAATTCAGAAGTGAAAACTCACTGCACGTAAACTGGTAATATAAATAAACACTGACGCTTAGATCCACTGAATACATAAGCTGTTTGCCATCAACAAAGGAAAGGTACTTTTATGAAATTATATAAAAATACAAATGAAAAGTTATCAAATATGAAAGAAATTTACTGAGGTATTACTCATATTGGCTTTACGCACATTGTAAAAACGTCTGGAGCTATAATCTTAACCACATATTGCAAAAACATATTTAAATACAGTGACGTCTCCAGACCCGGTGCAACCTGTGTGGCCGCACTGGAATTTGGGAGTGTCAAAATTTTTAGAATTTATAAAAACACCGAACACTAAAATTTAAAAATGTCCCAATTTTTAAAGTTTAGATGAAGTAGTGGGAAAAAAAATTGGGGAAGGTCGAATTTTTAAAAATTTAGGAAGCATCGGACGCTAGAATTTAGGACTCTCAGAGTTTGGTCCCGGAGACAATATACTTAACGAAGCTCTACTTAAATAACAGCAGTTTCGACACATAGTAACGAAATTAATAACATTTTGTGATAACAGACGTTTCGAGGAATAGTAATTGGTAGGTGACAGATGTCGGAAGAGAGGGATACCTGGTGGCTAAATAGTTAAACAGGTAGACCACCGCCCCTCCCACAACTGCAAAGCAACAATATATGTGTTTGAGAGGTATGCTATATATACGTATATCTAATACTGAGAATGAGGACGTAACATAGGAGCTTGAGTTAAGTTGTTGAAATTAACTCCGATTCCATCGATATCAGAACATTCATGTTTATTACGCATTGCTTATCTGCATTAGCCTCTTTTGATAGTAGACAGATATGATGGTTGCTGTCGAGGGGCAGGAAATTATGTAATTCTCTGGACAGCTCTGTTCACCGAAGGCATCAAAATCAGTTTCTGAGATTGCATCCCTGTTGTAATAGGATGGAAAGAGGCCATGGCCGATCGTATATCATGTGAGTTGCATTGCCAAGAATAACCTATCCGTCGTCATTTTGGGAAGGAATTCATATGTATGCCAACCATTTTCGCCGTTATCCCACTCATTCTACCATTGCTGTAATGCCAATGTTGGATTATTTGCATAACGTGTGATCCGCGAGCTGGAGTTGATAACGGAGAGCTTCCATGTTACTGAAGATTTCTTGGCAAATGTGTCGGCAAGTTCGTTTCCTATTTGCCTCGCCTGCTGCCTTCTGTACAGCGTCTTTTATTTTATTTCTTAGAAGTCTTTGGATGTTTATAATTATCTGTGATGTATGATACGGATTATATACAATGCAGAGAGGATATCTGAAATTATTGTGTTATTTATTTATTCAGGTTGTTGTTTAAAGTGTACGTGATGGCTTTTTCAAGTGCTGGTGCTTCAACTGGAAATACGCTTATTTCTTTTAGGTGGCTTTTCCAGCGATGGATTGTTTGTGTGTTGTTTGTATGTTTGTGTGTTCTATTTGTTGTGTTGTTATTTATCGCACTTGTCTGACAGTGTCTGACAGTTACTTATCTCACTTGTCTGACAGAACAAGCCCACGGAATTCCTCGTGGCAAGGAGTCCAAGATTGGGCCTGTTGTTGGCAAAATCCTTGAGCACCATACAGGTGACAGTACGACTTCGCTCAGTTCCGCCCCCAAATTTGATAGAGAGCACCTGGGGGGCGGGTCCGAAGGTCTCTCGTCCCCTCTTACCCTACCACCAACCTCTTGAGAGAACTTTCAGCTCACCACATATTTAGAGTGTCCCCATGCCGCACGGACACTATACGTTTACAAACATCCATGCCTTCTCCGGAATTCGAACCCGGACCCTTCGGTACCGCAGTAGGCTTCCCTAACCACTACACTGTGTGGGCGACCTGTCTTGTATTTGTTCATATGTACAAATTCGCTTCCAACGCCTACGTCAGTTTTGAGCTGTTTGTACAAATAGCCGTAAAAGGCTATTTATACTATATATATATTATATATATGTCAGGGTGTTTTTCCAAACCTCCTTGCAAGAATACTTTATTTTTATCTGTAATATGTATGAAGATTCCTATGAATTGACTCCTGTGACTCCTATGACTTCCTATAATACTGGATGTATATGAGCTAAATTAGATTTTTCAAAGTCCCTGGATTTAAAATTGTATTTTTTGTAATTAACGTCTTCACTCACATGCTGGACTTCGAAGATTTTTAGCTTCATGTTTCCCTCATATTGTGAGCGGAATTAGCCTGTTAGGACATCGTCTGTAGTTGTTGCACGGTATACCCTAGTGATGGTTAGGGCAAATAATGATTGGCAATAATTTAACAAATTACCAAAATATTCAAATAATCTGCTCAAATATTCTAGGAGGAGAATAAACGTTTCTAAATGGCATTTCTGTTTTTCTTAAAACCCATCTAGGATAGGCGTACGTGGCTGAAGCCAGCAAAACCTCAATTTTGGAAATTTTAATTTATATGAATTGCTTCAAAGATAAACAGCGCTTTGTTTATGTAAAAATTTTTATTAAAATAACGACATCACATGAAGCTTATATCAGTTACATTACGTATCATTTACACGACGTTAGTCAGTGCTCCAGTGCTAATTTAGTTAATTATAGTTCAGGAAATTCTAACAAACGTTTACCACTATAAATGTGATACTATCATATTAATTTAGGTTAGGTCAGGTTATTTGAGTACGACAAAGAATGAGGACTATTTGTCTAAGAAGGAGAGATGTCTTCATGGAGGACTTTCTGGCTCGTATTCATATTACAAGTAAGGAAAAACAAGAAAGCTAAGAATGCAGCTAGCCCTAGTTCTAACTCAAAGCCTGAGAAGCATTACCCCAGTAATAATTTAATTAATCATGGCTTAGTGAAATCTAAGCCATGATTAATTAAATTAACCCACGATTAATTAATGAATTTAAAAATATAAATGTGAAACAAGCAGGACGGCCACAGCCTCGGTGAAGAATATATGCACGCCGTTAGTTGTCATACGTGATTGCAAAAGAATGTGAAGGTTAGGACAAAAGTATCTGGATACAGCAGATGGTGCCGCATACCATTCTTAAACGAGCTCATACACGTCGTTAAAAAGTTCATCAATGAATTAGTTTCTCGTAAAAATGATCTCGGAAGAAACCAAATCTTTTTCCAACTCACTTTTTATGGGGATATCTTAAAAGTCATGTATACACAAATAAACCAGCAACATTAACTTAACTGAAATACGTGGGGAAATAGCTGCAAGCCACGCGTCAGGGTGTTTTTCCAAACCTCCTTGCAAGAATACCAATGATATGAAAATACATACCTCGAGAGTATTATCTTTAAAAAGTAAATCTCGCGCTATATTTTTTTCTGTTAAATAAAAGCTTAATATAATAATTTAACGTCTCTTTTGATTTGGTTTTCATATGAGCAAAAATTTTTAATCCACTCAGTATAATACTTACGTTAAGATTAGTCGAAATACTATCTTATATGTCTTGCTATTTTTACCTTATATTATCTAGTTTTAAAATGTTCTTTTCAAAATTTCTAAAAGATAAGGCAGTTGTTTATTAATTTATTAGCATGGACGTTTTTCGTGCAAAACAAATACACTATTGTAAAAAATAAAATATGTTCCACTTTTTTCTTTGAAACTACCTGATCCGAAATGAATTAGATAACTTTTTATATGTTGTACATACATACGTAATCTTATGCGTATTTTTTCGTGTGTAATTTTATATATCAAATTTAGTATCTGAAGCTGTTTGGATATACATTATTTTAAACAACTTCTTAGTTACAAATGTTTGTAATGAAATGTATATGTATTGAAACCTTCTGAACATGTAAAATAAATTTACTTCTTTCATAAATAACAGAATTTAATTGCTTCTGTATAATAAAGTATATCTGGATAAAATGGAGTCGTCTTACAAAAATAAAAAAAAAAATTCAAACTTTAAAATGCTGCACGAATTAAAAATTGCTCTCTCGTGGGAAAAATGAATTTCTCCGAAATAAATGAAATTTGGCCTTTATCCTACGTTCTTGTTTTTAGTATAATTAAGTTCAAGTATGTCCTACTTATCGATGTTTTCAAATTTTGCCTCTACTGTTTTTTGAGAAAGGTGGTATATAAGCGTGTCTTAATAACAGAGTTTAAAATAAAAAAGTATTATATGTGTTTTGCATATTAAGAATTATTATGAAAATTTACCACATGCCGTACGGCAATACTGTGAAGAGAAGCTTACAGAGGGGGAGAGAACCCGCATTGTACGAGAAACAAACTTTGGAAAAGCTTCAGATCTGAAAGAAATGTTTTTTGATATGAGGACAGTCCCCGGAACCCGTATTTACAACTGGATCTTTTTTACCTGTAAAGCAAACGGGTAGGCAAAGCACTAGTCGCTTGATCGCGCAGAAAAACACAAGTTGCCGTTGCTGCAGCCTGCTCGGATTTCCAACCACCTGTGTTGATAGCAGTGTGTGAAGCATAATATCAAATTCAATTAGTCGTCCCGATTTGGATTATATATAGAATATCGGCTGCAACTCAGGTGAGAATCTATGAAATTAATTACTTATTAATTACAATCTAAGGGCAATTTACTGTGAAACAAAATATATATATCAGCTGATAAATTTTCATAGGTTTTTTTTTTTTTTTTTTTTTTTTGTAAGCAAAGTAGAACACTTTAGTTTAAAGACATAGTCTCCTTTAAAATAAATATTTTACTTTAGTATATTATTTTTAGTTTTCACTGAATAGCAGTACAAAAATTTGTCCATCTTTTGCCTATCCTCTGTCCTATGGTCTATTTATCCATGTCTATGTGTTTATTTGCTTATCCCCTATTTGTCTATGGTCTCTTCCAGAATTTTGTTTAAACGGGTATTAGTTTTTAAACGCCACTTTATCCGACACAAAAATAATTTAATTCTTTTTGTTGGTCGCCCCCGATTTTGCATTTGTAAATTGTAATAGTATTTATGTAAGCTAATTCCTAGAGAAATCGCGCGAAGCTGTTTCTTTATAAAAGCCTTTTATTTCTTTCGAAAGTCACACTTTACACTGAGCTCTAACGGATCAAATATATTTTATTTTATATTTACGCCAAGTAGGAATAGCATCAGTATATATATGAATGGTTTTTGTTTCAGAGAAGAGTGATCTTCAAGTAAACTAACGTCATAAACATTCAGTTTGCAACGAGTCTTGCTGTTGATTAAAATTACATTCGCTAAGAATGTTTTGTTAAATACTTATTGTACCTGCATTAATTCATTTAATCATCTTATGCCTTGTTTTAAACTTAGAACTAATTAATTTTTTTTCTGACTTCAGTTATTAAGTATTTTAACTTAAATTATCAAGTATCTTAACTGATTTTCGAAATTAATAAATATCTTAACTTTATAATATAGTTATGATCTTGGATAATTTCAATTTCAAATTAAAATTATCAAACATCATAACTATATTATAAAGCATCTCAATTAAAATTAAAATAAATTGATTAAAATTATTAATCTCAATTAAAATTAGCCTTAATTGATTAATAATCAGAATTATCTTTAACTGATTTTCGAAAACAAGTTTACCGAATTTAAATTTCCCGAACGGTAATCAAGTGACTTATTTTGAAACATTCGATAGTTATAGCATATCGATGACTTTCAAGTACCTATCGCTGTTTATCTAATATAAATGCCATTTTATTGACAATTAACATCATCATACTAAGTTTCCCAGTTCCAGTTTTTATTGTTTCTCAGGAATAATTTTGGGAAAGTATTTCATTTATCAATTACGTCTCCTTATAATAATAACCGTAACTTCATATTCTATTTATTCTATATATAGCTAATCATTTCTTGAATATCATTTCTAATGTACTCTAAGAGTTCCGGTGATTTTAGTAATTAATATAATGTGACATTGATACATATTTCATAACCTCCTAGAAGTACAATTATCCCATTTCAGTGTTAAAATAACAAAAGTAGGGGGAAATGATGAAAATGAAATAACAAAAATTTCTCATGGTAATAAACGTTTGCAATTGTTTTTATTCCTAATACTGTTAACCATAATAGTTTCGCCATAGACATGGTTTTCTAACGTTAACCCTTAACTTCCCAATTTTTTAAATTTCTATGAAAAAATTATATCAGCTACTTCTTAATAATAAAAGGGACAAATATTTTTTAAAAAAATTAAGCAATTTTAAATTGAATTTCAGTCATTTTTTTGGTTTGTTGCAGAAGTGCAACATTGCGCAGTAGTGCTGTAAAATTACAAAACTTTTTTTTTTATATGAGGATTTTATTATTCATTGTTATAAATTGCTTTAGCCTTACATACAATGAAAATTTTTTAAAGCAGTTATTGACTTTGTTGTAAAACGTCCCCTACTTTACACTTTTCGCACTCAGTTTGAGTGTAGCTCTTGTAGTTTGGAAACTTGCACCGTATTCTTTTTCTGACCATATTGGCCAATGATTTATACCATCTCTACGAATGTCCTTACATGGAACGGATTGGGCAGTCCCTTTGCATCTTTTAGTCTGAGGACATTTGTTCTATTGAAGTATTACTAGGTCTTCCTCTTTTAGGCATTTCGATCGTACCCCATTTTGCATAAGCATGATGCAACTTGGTCAGATTTGATCATTTTTGTAAATTCATTAGATTTTTTAAATTAGTTTCAGATTTTTTAAGAGGCATTTTTTTCTTTAATTCGATCAAATCCAAGCTCTTCTGACCAGTATGCTCTATAGTTTGGCAGGTGAACTAGAGATGCATAAATGCAAATACCCAAATATTGATTTATTTCATTCTCTGATATAGTCAAAGGCTTACTTGGATTCTTTTGAATAGCATATCGTTTGCTCTCTTCATAAATGTTACTTATGATCTCGTCCGTCCATAAATATTTAAAAAATTGGTACCTGGAGTGTCCAAATCCATTAATTTCTCTTGGGAGCGTGTCATCTCTATGGAATTTTATTACTTCTTCAATCAATGAAATGTTTTGATTTTTCCATAAAATATTCTTTGACAATGTTTTATTATTCTTAACAGTTAAATTTTAAAAAAAAAGTTCTCTGACTGAAATATACCAGCGGCCGAGTGGTAAAGTCGCTGAACACTAGTAGTTCGATCCGATGTTCGAATCCCGCGAACGGGGCTGGCTACCTGGTCGTTTTCCCCATGTGTAACTTGTATACAAGCCAGTTTCCTTAGAAAATCCTCCACGAAGGCATCTCTCCCAGTAGGCAGATAGCTCTCGAGGCTTTGCCATAATCACACACACACACTGACTGAAATATTTCTATCAAATTTATTATCATCATCATCGGATTTTTTTATATTCTGAATTGTATTTTGTAAAACAACACTGTTTGCACAGTCGCTATCCGAATCTTCATTAGATGACACACAATCATGTAAAAAATGAACATTATCAGCAGAATATTCGAAGACCATTCTCACTTAAATCACTTAATTTGTCCAAATTATTCATATATCTAGCAATTTCAGCTTGGGTTAGTATACGCGTTTTGGCCATGTCAAAACGGTAACCAAAGACCAATGTTGCCAGACCTGCAACATATAATTAAAATCAAATTTCTTTCAAACTTTTTCCATTAGAAAATCAAAATTACTTTTAAATAAACATAAAATGTTTAAATTTCTTACCTGGTAATTGTTTTTGTCAATAAACAAGAGGAAGCATAAAATATAATGGATTTTTTTATAGCAAAAACACAGTTCTTGAGGCAACAGAGATTTTTATAATTGTTGTGATTTCTGTAAAAAATGTGTTGCTATCTAGTGACAAAATTAGCATGTATTTCGTTGCAGTAATCTTTTTTCTTAGATAAGTGATTTATAGGTAATTAAAAAAATATTCTGTTAAATTAAAATAAATCATATGTTGCAGAAATGCAACAGTGGGAAGTTAAGGGTTAATAGCCAAATGATTCCATATATTTGAATTTTAGCTCGATAAGAGCAAAATAAAATAATTTAGCAAACTAATTTTCTCTCATTTTAAAATATGCTAATGACGTTAGCTAAAAAACTGCCCATTTCAAGGTTTCATCTTTTCGAATGTGTCTACATTCGTCTATTCAACAAATCATAATTAATTTTTAAAATGATGCCTTCATACAAAAAATAATATGTGCCTATATCCATGCCTTTTGATGAATGCGCTTTATCCCGTATTTCTAAACATACTGTTTCTAACAAAAGTTTGCTTGAAAAGAAGACAAATTTCATGATGAACGCATTTAGAAAATTTTAACTCAATTACTCTATTTTTGCAATCTAAACAATCTAATGAAAATTTTAAATAACAGCTATACATTAAACATCGTATTTTGATCCAAAAAAGAGAATTTACTCTCTTCGAAAATGTGTACTTTTCGCAGTACTGTTTCCGTGTGATCAAACACTTTCTATTGAGGGTATATTATAATATTTAAATGGTTAAACTGTAAAATGAGTAGGGGAAAAGGAATATTTTTTCTTCATTATGCACTTCATTTGCTAAAGAATTCTTTGTTGAAAAGTAGGTCGTTCTATCTACGTTTGAAAAAGAGTGTGTTTTAATTGTCTCTTACATATCGTTGAAACCTTGATCATTACCACATGTGAATAAATTAACAAGAAAGGAAAAGACTTCAGTAGTTAATAGCGATCGGCAGATCGAATGATGGAATTATCCGTTTTCTGTTCTCTCTTCGTAGATGAGGTGGGAATTATCCGTTGTTCTGTTCTTTCTTCGTCGATGAGGTGTTGCAGTGTTTTACTGTAACGTAGTGCTTAATGAAAGAATAAAACTCATATTATTTTTTCTTGTAGAGTTATAAAGAACCTTTATTTTAATATTTGATTATACATAAAAACTGGGAATTAACTGAAATTTTATCAAAGTAATTATCTTTTCTGGCTTACCTTTTTGCAACCTCACGTATTTTAGTCATATTTATGAGTTTTTGCAATTGATATTTTCTACAAAAACAGGTAATGTTTTCATTTATAAGGATAGCTTTCTTTTTTTTTTTTTTCAAGCACTGATTTTTTATTCTTCCTAGGTATTCAAAAAATAAAATTCTGATAATAATAAGTAAAAAGAAAAAATTGTCTTGATATTTGTTATAACCACTGAAACAACAGTTCACGAATTTCATACGCGGGAGAACTAAGCTTTCATTTAGTACATAAGCCATCAAACATCTGGAAATTAGTTTTGTTCCCTAGAGATGAATAAAATATTGCAAAAGTAATGATACTAGAAATGTTCAGAAATTTTTTTAGATGAAAATAAATACCGCATGTTTTTCATATACATCGCAAAGAAAGGTTGGTGAGAAACATTATTAGCAACAGAAATGGTATTTAAACAATAACAGCATTTGGGCAATAAAATGTAAAATGTTAAGTTTTTCTGAGACTTTAATCTTTACAAGACTCTGAAAGAAATATGTCAACATGATTAGAAGCTAAAATGAGTATTTAAAGATTTTAAGATTTATGCAACCGATT